AATCTCGCCTCGAACATCCATCCATCCATCCATCCCCCCGTTGCTCTTCAGCGTCCACTCACTGTGACCACACCAAACAAATCCACCCGGTCATCTTTCCCACGATGGTAAACAAACCCCCCAGGATCCAAATCAGATGCCGACATCGTCCCCCGGCAAAGAAGTTCCAGAAGATGACCCAGATCCACCACCACCCTGGGCAATGGCACGTTCCGTTCCCATTTTTTTTGGCCCTTCTCGTTTTCGGCAACGGCGGTAGTTATCTCTAGCTCCCACTGTGAGTGCCCACTCATTCCCAACACCATGTTCAGTTTTCCCTTCACCGCCGCGATCCATTCGGAGGACACCGCCAATAATTCCAACTGGAAAAAAGCAAACCTCTGAGAGAAGTCCACCACAAGAATGGAGAACGTGGGACTAACAGAGTCCGTCACCGGGGGAAATAACCCGCTACCGCGATCTTCATTTTCCAGTGTTGTGTGTGGTGGGTGTACAACACCAAAAAGAAGCAAAGAAAGAAAGAAAGAAAGATCCAATGTCTCGGGTTCTTTCTGCAGCCCAGAACACGTCGATCGATCAATCTAGTTCTCTCTCTATTTCTCGTCGGCTCCGGCGCTTAACCATCCTGATTCACACACTTCCATTCACATGATTTCTTCTTCTCTGCTGTAGTGAAACAGGCATCCTCTCTCTCTCTCTCTCTCTCGTGTTCAAATTTCATCGCTGCTGATCTACTGGCGTCCTAGCAAAAAAGGCAAAATATTGTACATGGTTCCCAGTCGGATAATAATCTCATTCCATCCATCCATCATGTTAAAAAAAAAAACCACCAAAGGCTAGCTCAAAAGACGTGACGGTGCTCCAAATCGTCTGTCTGTGCCCACCCCGTAAAAGGAAAAAAAAGCTTTCCTTGGCTTGAAGATCATGACCGGCAAGATAATAGCAAGACAAAAACGACAAAAAGCCAATTTTCCTTTTAGCGTAGCGCACAAAAGACAGAAAGAGCAAAAACGAAAGTCGAGAAGTGAAAGACATAAAAACACACAAACGAAACAATAATACAGCCAAAAATACAACCTTCATATCAAAATCATCAAACACACACACATGCATGTCAAAGAAGTAAAAGAACAGAGACAAGTGGGATATCCGCCAAAAGCACAAAACATTTGGTTTCCTTCCCGCAAGACAGAGAGACGAAAAAAAAGTGTTCAAAAAAATGTACTAAAATTATTATCCCGAAACCATGCTGGTTGAACCTATCTCTCTCCCGAAGAGAGAGAGAGAGAGAGAGAGACAAAGAGAGACAAGAGAGTATGCTTTGATGATATCGACCACGTCAAATGAGGTTGTGGTGAAAATCGGATCCTCCTTTCCCAATGCAAATCGTGTGTATGTTCTCTTCTTCTTCTCCAGTTCGTACAATCAGATCGTCATATTTCTTCTCCCTTCTTCACTGTCATTTTTTGGCTCCTCGAGCTTTTGGTCGCGTTTCCCTCCATCCCCAATGAAAAAGCGCGCTTTTGTTTTGATCGTGATTGCCGTCCTGCTCCCATGACTTCACAGAAGAAGCCATGGGACGCGGTGATGCTGGTTTGGTGACAGGAGTTGGTGGTGGTACATGAAGTGTTTGTGGACATTGATACAAAAAAACAAATGTCACACACATGAAGACTAAAAAAGATATAAAATAACAAAAAAACACCAACCCATCGTTTTTGCCTGCTGAGTTCCTGCCAAAAGGCGAAAAAACGTCTGCGCCATAAAAAAAGAATCCCAAATAGTGTCCCACCGCCTCGCTTTGTCTTGATGAAAAAGAGCAAACCCCCCAGTGTATATATGTAAATGTTGATGTGTTGACCCAGGCCCGATGAAACAACGCGTCGTGGCAGTCATATCCGGGCATCAATGGCGACGGTACGTTCTAATGCGAGAACCACCGACATTGTGAAGAGTGTGCAGAGAATTGAATAGATAAAAGGTTGATCGAGCAAGTTTTGCGTTCCATTACTCTGACCTCTTGCGCTTCTTCCTGCTGGACTCGGTGCTCTCATCCGACGACGACTCGCTGCCTGGGATCTCAGCACTAATTTGGAACAACACATGGCCGAGCGTGTGGTAGTCGGGAGCAAGAGAAATGCCGTGAGGGTGTGGATACCCTTGACCTAGGTGACCGGCGGCGGCGGCGGCAGCCATGTCGGAGCCATCGAGAAGGTCGAGAGAGATGGCGCCGGCTCCGTGGGTGCGGGCATGCTGGGAAAGGTTGTCAGAGCGAGAGAACTTCTTGCCGCACTCGTGGCACTCGAAGGGCTTGTCCTCGGTGTGGAGAGAACGGTAGTGACGCTTGAGGTGTTCCTGGCGGCGGAACCGGCGGTTGCACTGCTCGCAGACGAAGGTCTTGGAGGGATCCTCGGTCAAGGACTGCTTGCGACCACGGCGGTTGGTGGGAGCAGCGGGGGTGCCGGAGGGGGTGTCAGCGGTATCGGGAGAAGCGGAGTTGACACCCGAGTTGATGTTTTGGGCCTCGCTGGTGGTGTTGTCCTGGTTGGCCGGGGTCTGGGACTGGTCCTGAGCAGCCCCTGATTGGGCCTCGGCCTCAGCAGCGACGTTCATGGCGGGCTTGCTGCAGCAGCTGTCGGCAGACTTCTTTTGCCTCTTGGGTTGATGCTCGTCGGCGTCCTCGCACGAGCTTGGTGGGCTGGGCAGGTAGCTGGCAGCAAAGGAGTCGCTGTCCTCAAAGTCTTCCTCGCAGTTGAAGCTGGTCTCGCTGCAGGAACGCGACCGGCTGCTGGCCTGGGACACGAGGGGCTCGCTCAAGATGGCAAGGCCTTGGAACTCGTCGTCAGAGTCAAAGTCTGACAGGTCACCAGTAGTGAAGCTGGAGGGAAGGGTGCGGTGCAGGTCCTGGCTGGTGAAGATGGTGGACGCGTTGTGGGAGCTGGCAAACGAATCGCCCCTGAGCACGAATTTTTGATCCTCTTCCTCACCCAGGCAAAAAGCGGGGAGAGCCGCAAATTCTGGAGCAAGAGTGGAATTGACAGAGCCGACAGTCAGATTGCGCGGATCGCAGAAGCTGTCGTCGGAAGACACTGAACGCGCGTAAGGGGAGGGTGATGGAGAAAGTGACGGGCACGATGCAGGAGAAAGGAGGTCGTTGCTGGCTTGTCTGTTGAGCGTGGCAGTGGCAGTCTGGGGAGCCTGTGCGCGGGATGAAAGGTACACTGTGGACAGGCAGAGTTTTGGTCAGCTCCAGCACCCAGAAAAAAAGCAGCCCAGCTGAGAACCCCGCTAAGCTCAACCGCGCAACCGCCCAAAATCTCAAAAGCAGGGGCCACTTGGCCCGCCCGTTCATTCAATTCAGTCCATCCACCCTGACTCACTGCATCTACATTCACAAATAAAATCCCCAAAAAAATCATAAAAAATCACTAACCAGGCACAAGCTGAGGTGAGGAGCAGCTGGAGGACCATGGCTCCAGGTCAGGGAAGCATTCGAGCCCCTCCTCTTCCCTCTTGCCCTTGGTCTCAAAACCGTCAAGGCCAGAGAGCATAGGGTTGAGCGGTGTGGCGAGCATCTCATAGGTGCTGCCGGGGCTGCTGACAGTGCTGCCGGAGCACGAGAGCGCAGGAGTCGACGGGGACCGGAGTCCATCGAACTCGTTGAGTCCCGTGTCGAGCGCAAGCAGTGACTTGTAATTGATGGGCTGTGGGGAAGCCGCCGGTGTGAGCACGGCAGGTGAGATGGTGGTGCCGTTGAATGTGTGTGAGAGCAGCGGCCCTTGCTGCGACGAGCAGGATGATGTTGGCCGCGAGTAGACAGGCGTCGAGGGAAGAGGAGCCACCACGGGAAGGTTCATCATCATCTGCTGTTGTTGGAAAGCTGGGTGGAAAGGCTGCTGGACAAAGTGGGTTGGTCTGCTCTCGACACTGGGACCAGGCCGGTAGAAGAAGTAGGATGGTGCTGTAGACATGTTGGGCGAGCTATGGCAGTTACTGTTGCTGTTGTTGCGGTTGCTATTCCAGTCCATCAGCGTCCAGGTTCCACTCTAGAGATCGTTGCGGTTACCCACCAGTCAAGACACCTGGACTTGTTGTTGTTGTTGTTCTTCGTTGTTCGGTTGCTGTGGTTTAGGTATTAAGTATATATCGGGCTTATTGTACAGGTTGCTGTTGTATGGAGCGAGTATTGCTTGCTGTTGGGCTGTGGCCTAAAGATGGTGATGGTTGGTTCTTTTGGTAATGAATGTCTGGCAGTTGTGATGATGATGATCAACAACCAGCCGGGTTCAAAGTTCTCGATATTTGCTGCTGTTGTACATGAACTCGTCTTATCGTCCACAGCTGAGGGTGAGATTGGTGAGGATGGAGGAGGTTGAGGTGGACGGAGGAGGTAGACGAGAGAGGACGAGTTGGTGTATGTGCTTGAGGGGGCTGAAAGAGGGTAATAAGGAACAAGATGTTCCAAAAGTGTCGAGTCCTAAAAGAAACAAGAACCAATATGTAAATGAACAAGAAAGAGAGAGAGCGAGGCAATCACGCGTCCAGGTCGACCGATTTGCCGATTGTGGAGAGAAGAGAGCGTCAGGGTGGGAAGCCCATGGAGGATATGTACGGATGGGCCTAACCCACTCTAAAGCGATCAACGGCCAGCGAGGTGCCAGACAGGCAGGCGATAGACTGTGTGGGCTCTCTCGACCCTCTCTCGACTGGGCACCTAATCCTCGACTGGCACTTAATCCTGGTCGCTCCAATCCGCACCAGCCCACCATGTCCACCATGCGCGGGTTCGCTTGGGTCTTGGATTGACAAGGGCCGGGAGGGACCAAGTGACAAGGGCCCCTGTCTGTTAATGGTGTTCTGGGGCATGTGGGTGGATGGCAACATCAGATGGTGGGTGGCCGGCTTCGACGAATGGACTTGTGGGCGCCATCCCCCCCCACTCACCAGGCGCAGTCATAAATGTGCTAAATGCGGATTAGTCTGCCAGCACGACGGATGTACCGCTGCGAGAATGGTACCCTCTGGGCGGCCACCCTCCTCTCCCCCGACCAATCATCCCCTCTGCTGGTAGAGGCACTAAGCTGCGGTGCCTGCGTATGCAGCATGCAGCAGCACTGAGCAGCACCACAGAGAGAAAGACGTGAGGGGGAAAAGCGGCCTCTGCTAGTGTAGCTCCGCTGGTAGGTCTGTAACAAGGTAGCTGATGAGCTGTGCTGTTCTCTCTACTAGAGATAGATGGTCCAACGCACTGTTCGCCGCTACGGTGGAGTTGAGCTGTCAAGTAAGCCAGCTCCAGGCTTGTCATCAGTTGTCATTCCCCCAAGCTGCCGAGGCCGGCCGGGTCCCGCAGAGACTGAGGGCCGGACGGAGGACGGTGTCTCTTTTCTGTCAGTGGCATCCGCTAGCTGGCCGAAAGCGAGGCCTTCATGTAATGATGGGTGGGGAAACTGAGCAGCAGAAGAAATGGCATTCGGGATTCAGAACGACGCTTGGGCGTCGTACACACCCACTGGGTAAGTTGTTCCTCGCTCGCGGGTTCGAGGCAGAGAGACACACACGCTTTTGACCAACGAGGGTGACGAGCACATGCATGTACATTGTCGAAGCCGTCCGCGAGACCGTCTCTGCAGTCGTGATAGGCTGAAGGGCCAACAATGTCGCCCACAGAAACTGTGCACAAAAAAGTCTCTGGCCGAGGCGCGGTGGGCAAGCGCGGTGTCCGACGACAATCCAGGCACAGCTATTCGCTGCATTGTGTCAGGTCACATCTCGCCCCTCTGCTCCCCGACCAGTAGGGACCGCAGGTGGGTGACTGCAAGGCACGAAACACCCCGAGAGGCAACCTGAACTTGGAGGGTGACCACCAGGGAAACGGCGTCGCGCCGCCGCTGGTTGGCAACAACTATTCAGATCAGATCCAGAGTCCAGGTGACGATGTGACGATGTGAATGCCCTCGACGACGATACGCAACAGGACACTCGAATAACCGCCATGGCAGGCGGATGAAGGCGAATGACGGCAAGACTGCCCATCACCTCACCTTCTTCTTCCGTCAGCTGACGATCGAGGGGCATTAAAGCTGGCAGTCCGGGACAGGCCGCCGGTTGAATTCATGCATTTCCTTTTTTGTAAAACTCTGCCAACCAGGAAAACCAGATGTTGGACGTATGTTGGTCTTTATTTATCTGTCGATGCATCCCGGTTTAGATTCCCACATCATCCAGCGTCACCAGGGCGATATTGTTCTCCCGTCTGCTCACTTTTGAAAAATAGAAGCGGGGTGGGTGGTTGATGATGACAATTCGGTGTCCCTCTCTCGAATTATCCATCATAGTCTGCGGCGTGGGAAGACCAACAACGGACAAACTGCCGATGGACTACACTCGAAATCATGCAGTTGGAAGGCGGCCATAGCATCCTCATCCTCTCCAGGCGGGCGAATCGAAGACTGTCCCGATCGCGTTGACCTGCGCCGGGTGTCCGTGTCGTGCGGTACCAAGGTGATGCTGCAGGTCTTAGGTCCCGCGCGGACCACCGACCGAGTGAGGGGAATGGTGAGCCTGATGGCTCAGTCGCTGTGCAGGAGAAACATGAAACACCCGAGAGGCTGCGAGTCGGCCGTCGATCGTGAGAAAGAGTCGCCTTCAGGTTCTCAACCGCGGGGTAAAAAGTGATGAGGTGGGATGGGAGGACAGTGAGAGTGCGAGAGGCCACTCGGAAGAGAGGTGGGCCCAAGAGCCAATAGCAGACACGCATTTGACTGCCCCGCCATGCAACCACTTTACAACCCTGCCTATGATGCCTTTTTCGTCCCTCTCCACGTACTCTCTCTCCCATCAGATTCTACCATTGGTAGGTATCACCTCTCAATCTTTTTTTTGCTCCTCCTCAGCTTCGTATAGACAGCAGCTGGAGTTGCTGGGCTGAGAACTGATACATAATTTGTGCGTGTTACCTGTCATGGATTGGACGGATCGGAGCGGTCAGGTGGCATGCTACGCTGCATGTCCTTTGCTTTTCTCGCTTGGTTTTGAGAGGGCGTTGCATGAATCTGTCGCTATTTTTGACACTGTCTGGCTGTCCAGATACATACAATCCTGTTCACGTGTTGCCCAGCTTCGGCAGCCTGCATCAACCCTAGGGCCATCATCACCAGCCGGTCCTCACGGTCCTGTCTGAATTGATGGATTCGAGGCCATCCAGCTTTTGTCTCATTGCTTCTTTGGACGATCATGGCCATCTTTCTGGCTATTCTCTTCCGGTCCGCCACCATCCACAACAACGCGTCCAGCGGTTGAGAAAACAACATGTCCTCCCCCATAGGTCGAGGCAAATGCTGAGCGGGGAGAGAGCTGTTTCATACAGCTTTGCAGTCACATCGTCGTGTTCCCGAAACGTCGAGACAGCACTATCCAGCGTTGCAGTTGCAATCAACTTGTTTCCGACATATCATTTATCATTTCTGCCTTCTGGAAACGACTAATGCCTGGACTATCAAATCAAGCCTATCTCTCCGAGCATCATCAGCAGCATCATCATCATCGGCAGAGCTTGCCCTCAGCTTCAGACAATGAGAACAACACGACCGCGCGTCCAGCATAACACGAAAGCTGCGTGTTGTACGACAAGCATTTCCGTATTCGACTCGATCCTGTCTGTTCATCACACCCAGGTACCGGTACCTACGTACATGATGTCTCCAAACCCGCTCCGTCACGGTGGATTCAATACAGACGAGGTGATGATGCCTTCTACCGTTTCCACTTGCACCCCACTATCCATCAGACACATCAGACGATGGGAGAAGGACGAGAAGCTATCACGGCAGCACGGCTGTTCCCCAGACCCAGTGGCAAAACTGACCGCATGTACCAGGCAGCCCAGAGGTACTTTGGCCTTTTTCCGGCAGCTGTGCCTTGCAGAGCACGACGAAGCTACTGCAGCCACGAGCTGCAACATGCAGGTACGAATGCTTTTTCACCATTTCAGCCAAACGAATTGTGCCTGGGGAAAATCTCTATCAGCCTCCGTCGCATCCTCCTGTCTTGGGTGCAGCAACAGACTGCTGCCGCTGTCAAAGTCTGCGTTGCTTTCTTCGTTGCGGTGGCCTTTTCACGAAAAGATGGCCGTTCCGTCTGGAAGCATCACCCATCCACCCATCGTCCATCGTACCATACCGTTAACAGTTTGGACCATTTCCCAATCATGAGCTCCAAGGGTCCCTTGTGATACCGCCAGAACAGCAGCGAACCCCTCCCTCCCCACTTGGAACTGTTAAGCGTTGGTGGACCTGCAGGCCTCGGACACAAACGGCATCCTGATCCGGGACGGTTCCTGAGGGCTTTTCCCCATCCTGGTCCTTCTTTTGAAACCTTGACAGGGCCGAATCGGAGCTGTGAGTTATCTGGTCTTCCTTGGCACAGCACTATCTCTTCGCCACCACGGAGCTGGGACGAGCTGATACACAGCACCGAAGCTCTGGAAATTCCTCCGCCCGGGTTCTGCTTCCCCAAACAGCAACCAGAATGTTGCAATATCGTGTATCGAGAGCTGCTGTCTGGCGATTGCGTCTGGAATAGGCCCATGGAAAATGTTACCCAGTCGGTGTGTGCAACGCTATGGATTCAAAGAACGGAACCAGATCCGGGCGGGCCCCAACCAGAGATTGACCTTCACCGTCTTCTTCGTAACGTCGAGGGATCTGCTAGTGGCGTCGGCCAGCAATGCACTATGGAGCTTAGCAGCGAGGTTGCTCTAACGGGACTACGACGCCAAACTTCATTCGTTTTGTTCCTCAGATCTGCCATGTGTCCTTGGCACGTACATGCGTCTCGAAACAAGAGCTCGGCGAGCATGACATCA